TTGTCAGCCATAGCGTTATTGCTGTTTTTCTGATTAGTACAAATCCCCACAATTTACACCACACCCCCCTTAAAAACAAACAAACAAAACCAACCCAAAACCAACCTAACTAATAGAAACAGAGAAACAGAAACAAACTCAGAATTTGTCCTGCGGAGTTCTGTGTCAGCTTCTGTTGTGGCTTCCTTTGTCTTGAATAAGTAAGATTCGTCCCAAGTAAGAAAAGCTGTGAACATAGTATTTCTTCAGGTAGCTATTCTGTACTGGCTCAGTTAGCTCTTGTTTCAGTCAGTGTATATCCAGAACAACTCTTACCAAAAGCATGTGGTTGAGTGAACAGGCACAGCCTGTTCTGAGGAACATCTGAAATTACTCCTCGTGGAGATGACTCTTGCCTTCTTTTTTATTTTTTTTTTTTTCTTAAGGATACTTCCAGGTTATTTCTGACATCTTACGCTCTGTTACCGTACCACAAAGCTCCATTGTTAAGATGTGTTGAACCTCAGTTTTAATGATATACTTTGGACTAGAGCATTGAATTATGCTTCTGATTTGAACAGGTGGATTCTCTGCCTTCCCTCTCTTCTCTTTTAAAATTCACTTTTTGCTTCATGCAGACAGTGGGGATTAAAAAGCAGAATTATGAACCAGATTTTTGGTTATGATATACTAGTATCAAGAGTGAGATTACGCTAGCAGAGGATTTGGGACTGGGGAGTAACTTTGCTTTCATTGGAAAAACCTGCCATCAGCTGTAAGAGAGTCAAGACGTGCTTCTAGAGCTTCAGCGGTCTGGCAGCGTGCTCTGTAGATTTTCTCAAAGGGATGCACAGACTTCCAAAAGATAACATTACAACGTCTCCTGTGACCCTGTGCCTTCTAACTGAGAGGAGATGGGTTTGGGAAGGAAGCAAAAGTGAGGATTGAAAAAAAAAATTGATCTTTCTCTTTCTTTCTTTGAATCTTGAAGCCTAATTTCACCATAAATTCCCAGTTCTGTCTGACATCTCAGGAAGTTATGTCTGGAACTTCAAGAAAGCTGTAGGCCAGTACCAGTGGTCTGGGTTTTATGTGACTGCATGAGCAGGGTGATCATAGCGCTGAGTGTGAAGGCAGTGGTACGATTGTGCATGAGGAGAAAGAGCGGGGGGAAGAATATTTACTATTTATTGATGTGCTGTCTGCTACTCTTATGTTTCTTATTTAAAGCAGCTAGTAGTGCTGGCTTGTCTTTTAATGTAAAACATTGGACAGGGATAGTGATTTATTAGATAACGAACAAAAACACCTGTACTTTTATGTGAATCACTATGTTAATAGCATCATTTTGGAGACAGAATTGGCAGGTTTTTTAGATCTGAATTGGAACCTTGTGTAATATAATTCAGTTGCTCTCCGCTTCTCTTAAGATAATTTCAAACTGTTTAGCACAATTCTAAATGTGATTAAGAATGTCTAGAGTGTATATCATCCATGCTCCATGAAGGTGGAAAAAGATGGTCTTGTTGCTTCCTGCTGCAGTTTGTGAGAACTTGAATGATCTGTATTACTTCAAAACTTTGCGGTGAAATCAACAGTGAAAATTACTTCTATGTGAATACGTTTAAAAGATTGAAAGGATGATAAATACTTACAGAGATATTACAGGATATATTTTCCTTTTAAGACATTCAAATATTAGGTGTGTAGGACCTTCTTGAAACTGCAGTCTCATGCAAGAAGTGTATGTGTGAGAGAACACGTGCAGATCAATGCACACCCTTAAAAGTAAGGCTTGTAGAGTAATCTGAAAACATGGTCTAGAGTGATTTGAGGATGTTGGGAAGCATTTCAAAGATTCTTGCCCTCGGGATGCCTGCAGTTTGTTAAATGCTCTTCTGATATTAGCCGTATCTCCTTTATGTCTTCTTTTCTCTTTATTTTTAAATGTTAAGAATTAGTTCTGTTCATAAGAAATTGTATTTCAAATGTGTCTTGAAAATGGGTACAAGTTTGGAAGTTGGATATACCCAGGGAGAGGGTTCTTGATTCTTGTTTTCTTGTATGGATTTGAATATTTTGTGTGCTTCAGAGCAAACAAAACACATACCCCCTTTAAAACAAAACAAACAACAACAGAAAAGCCCACACAGTTTGGGGGGGGGCTATATATTTTCGTTCTGAATTATGGGGCTTTATTTTTACTATCATTTGAGAGAGACTAAAGAAAGTGAGGCATGGAGGAAAAATGCATTGGGACTAGTGTTACTGATTTTGATTAAACTTAGGAGAGCAAAAAATCCAAATGTAAAGCTGACCATTTGGCTTGACACTGTCCTTACCTGACCATGCTGATCTTACCAGATGGAGTTTTCACTCCACTCTGTATTTCTGTGCTTTTGTGTATTTCAGTAAAGCCTCTTGTTTCACTGTAACATAGGTATTTTTGAAAATATTTTTTTCTTTTGTGGTTTAATTGTATGAAAAAATTTAGTGCTGTATTCTTGGAGCTGTACAGATGGTTCCATGCCAAACATATTTGTTTACCGTGGTAATGTCTGAGTCGTAGTGTGCCAGCTAATAAAGGGATTTATTTAAGGAACAAGGTGAATGACTAAAACAGATCTGCCAGTTGGGTGAACCATTAGAAGAATCTTACTTCTCGGCTTTATGTAAAGGTTATTTTTAATGCATTTCTGAGAAATCAAGAGTGGCTGCAGGGATGTCTTTGAGACAGCTGAAAGCATCTTGTCTTTTTGCTTGGGGGTCTTTATCTGTGGGCTTGAGACACATTAATCTGTTTTACTGAAGAACTTGCAAAGACAGCGGGTAGAAGTCCTGAGTTTCAAAGTCTGATCAAGTATTATAAACTCATCGTGGATTTTGTCCTGTTTATAGACTGTAAGATTCTGTCTTTCAGTTGTGGGGAAACCTGTTCTAATATTTCTGTAATGTAAATGTAAATTTCTATAAGGTAATACAAACATGTTTCTTTGTTCCCTGGAAATCCTGGGTCAACCGGCTGTAGTAACGCTAAAACCTTACACAGCTTTTCTCACGCAAATATAAGGTGCCCTGCTTTTACTAGAAGATGAAGCACACGGGCTGCCAAGTGTTTTAGTCAGGATTGATGTAAAAGCATTTGAAAGAGAAGCTAAACCTGTGAACTAGATGCTGTCTGCCTAAGCGCTTAGTCTGTTGTACATCACATCATCCACGTGGCTTCCAGAAACTCCGCCGATTCCACTGTTGATATTTTTGACTGGAATGTTTCCTCTTAGAAGTTGACTTTTGTGAATTAGAGATTTGTAATCTTATTGCTCAGGCACTGATCAGTACTTTTGGGAAGAATCCTGGAGACAGTGGTAATACTAAAGAGAAGTTAGAAAAAAAAAAAGGAATTTTAGTAACATTTTTTAAACTTAACTTTAGCTTGTTGGGTGTACAAAATATTTCCACTGAATTTCCTTTAATTCAGGAGTTACCTTTTTTTAATAGACAAGTAAGGGCTGACTTAAAAAACAAATTGTTAATTCTGGTCCTTAAGTATATGGTTCATTTTGAATTAAGCAAATGAGAACCTGCTTAAGGCACACACTGCCCTGAACCTGACCACATCCTTGTATGCCATTTTGAATAACAGTAGGATGTTGTGGTTTTTAGGTACTTGTTCCTGAAGCTGTACTCAAAAAGATATAACAGTGTAGTCTGTCTGTACCTATCTGCTGTTTGTTGCCTCTTTCTTCATGTTTGACATATCAGCTTTTAGGTCATGGACCCTATTATGTCATGTTCATGGCACTGGGCAAAAGAAAATATGTTTTATCTCATTTTTGGCTTTTGTGACTGAGTAATGGAAATAGTATACTGCCTCTTGCAAGCTCCTTCTAGTGGCAGTAGGTCTGATTTAGAAATAGCCATTTACATATGTGAAACCTCTCTGGTATTAATAAAGGCAGAATGTGTCCCTTCATATGGTAATTGAAATAGTGGCTTTCTCATTTTAGGTTAGTTGTATTTTTATTTAATCCTAGTACTGAAAAAAATTCCAGAGGGAGCACAGAAGTCAACGTTAGCATTTTCAGACAAATTTATCAAAGGTTGTCTGTTTGTAGGCAGTGATTGCAATCTGATCTGAGCTCATCTGAGCTTAAGTGAAAAATTAAAATGTGCCCTCTGATTAAACATTGCAATTAAGGATTTTAGGGGGCTTGGTTTTGAGGTTAAGCATTGATCTCATAGCAGTATATTTGGTATTAAATTGTGGAGCCATTGCAAGGTAATTAGATCACCTTTCTTGGGATTTCAGTGCTCTGTTCATCTTCTTTATTTAAAAACAAAGAAGAGGCTGCTTTGTACTTCCTTAATTATCTGAGGTTTAGGCATCATGTTAAAGGATTTAAAATACGAATCTGACACCGCAGTATTGTGGTGGGGGGGGGTATCATTGTGTTTTTGACTTGTGTCTGTGCACCAGTCCAGTAAGCACATGGCACTTCTTTCAGTTATTTTTATGACACACCTGCCCCAGTAAGGTGAAGATGGCTGTATTTATTTAAGAAAAAGAAAAGGAAGAAATTTTTGTAAATACTTAGAGCTTCATGGTATGGATGTCCTGTCAATTTCAGTTTCACCAAGAATAAACTGTCTTGTTTAGTGGTTAATTCAGTTTGTCCTATTGCAAGGTGGATTTCAACTCTAACTTTGTTTAGGATTAAGAACCTCTCAACAGAGTTAAGATTTAAAATGTTTACCTGACCTGATCAGCCTTGACATCGAACTGAACTTGACTGAAACTTGTGTTTTACATAGCTTCCAAATGCTGTCTTCATTCCTGAAGGGCGGTGTTTTGAATGCACAGAAATGGAGTGTGACTGGGTGTAAATGGAGTTAGACCCGAAAGGGGTTCCTTCTGTCCTTTTCGGGAGAGATGCTGAATTGTTTTTATTTGTCAGGTACGCTGAAGCCTTTTGATCTTATGCTTGGTTAATCATTTGTTTTCTTTCCTTCTGCCACTCCAGGCCGTATACACCTATGAAAGGAGCCCTTTCCACAGTGTGGTTTGACAGGTACAAGATCTCTAATGACTGTCCAGAACACATTGAAAGTATTGATTTGATGTGCCAGGGGCTTACAGACCTGATCAATGATGAGGTTAAAAACGGCATTGCAAAGAACAGGATACTAATAGGTAAGAGAGGCTTATTTGTAATGTGTTAATTTTAATGGTTTTTGATTGTCAAGAGATCATCTACTTTGAATTTACTCCCTCCTGAAAGCTCACGAGCATGCCTTGCAACTGCTGGACAGCTTCTTCAGCAGCCAATCCTCAAGATTATTGAATCATTATTTAAATCTGTGTCAGGTGGGGAATGTGGCTAACTGCAAGCAGTGTCCTCAAAAATGTGAATTAAAACTTTTCATTGCAAATAGTCATTTGTAATTGTTATTTAAAATACAGAATGGGCAGGGATTTACTTTAAAAAGGATCTATTTTTGCTATTTTCTTTTAGTCCTTTTCAAGGACAGGAAAGTATGCTTTCCCAAAGTGACTTGTATTTTGGAGAGTGGAGATGTAGCATATAAAACTCACAAGCTTTTCCTTACTGCTTTAATCATTTTGGGTTAAGTTAATTCATGGGGAAAAACTTTGCATGTTACACATCACTAAAGATTAACACCAAATGAAGCAGTACCTGCCATAGTTCCTATGTGTCTATCTTCCAGTCACTCTTCCACAAATTTCCCATAACTTTCACAGCACTTCTGTGAAACGGATAGTGGGATATTGAGACACAGGAGTTAAGGGCAGTGGAGTAGCCTGTAAAAAAATCACAAGTCCTTGGCTCCCTGTCCCATCCCTAGACCACAAACTATTTCAGGTTGGGGAAAAAACTCTTAATGTGGGAACTTATAAATTTATGGCCAACTGAGTCATGCCATCAAAATCCTGCGTGGTGGAGCCGCTGCCATCCAGCCTACATGTTTTCTTGGTCCAGCCCCATGTTGCTCTTTGAAGGCCTCTGTTTACTTTCCCTTCCTGGCCCATTGCCCTGGCTGCAGAATGCATTGTTTTGGATGGCTGTCAGCACAGTCTCTTTGATCTGTTTTTCCTGTGTTATACCTGCTGGCTTGGAAACAGCTGAAGAACTGCAGGTGCTTTTCTGTAGGGTGAGCTGGGAGATGTTCTGCATACAGATCCAACTTGCTACTAGGTTTTTCTCCTTTCTTCTTAGCCTTCAAAATTAGAGCTGGTGAGACTGTGGAGTATGAAAGTTGTTTTGTAAGTCGCAAGCAGAGTAAGGAAATCGGTATGCGCCCGTTGTTTCAGCCTGTAGATTCTTTGGAAGTCCCCATCTCTGTGTGTTTGCATTTCTCATCTGTAAATCAGAAATAATTATACTTTTCTTACTCTGAGAGCTTTGATTTTAGGCTTCTAGAGTAAGGCACTGTGACAGAGACTACGTGCATACATTGTCACAGTGGAATCTAATATTTGTGGAACAAACAAAATAAGGCAGCCCTGAGCTAGACCCGTCCAAAGTGCATAAGGGCACCTAAGTAGATGCATAAGAAATTTGCTAGTGGAAAATGAATTGTATCGTTTGTGGCAGCCCAAGATTTAAGTGCTCTTCCATGAGGACTTTGTGCCTTCTCTGCGCTGGTTTTGATGATTAACCAGTGTGCAATGCAGTGGAGAACGAAACTTACAGATCCTGTAAGGTTTCTGTGCACAAAGGCTGGGTTTAGTATCAGTCTGAGTCAGCTTCATGTGACATTCTTAGTTGTTTTAGATGGGACTTTGTGCAAATAATTTCCCATCTTCTGGCATTGTCTCTTACAGGAAATCAGAACTTCTGCAAAGGCACCTTGCAGCTTTATACCGTTTTTGATCAGAAGAGAATATGAGACCAGGGTTTGGTTATAAAGACGTAGTCAGTGTGTCTGCAACAAACTGTAGCCTCCACTGGAAAAGCAGAAATTGGTGTCCTGAAATTTTTCTGAATTAGGATGGTGTGTGGGAGATAATGAAAGATATGGTCACTTGCTGAGAATGTTGGAGAACTAAATCATGTCAGATCTTGTTAGATTTCTCTTTGAAAAAAATCAGGAGCGTTCATCTGGGACAAGAAGAGGAGGCTTGAGGTAACGAACGGGGAGCAGACAGTGCATTTGTGAGAGCTGGTGCAATGGAGTTGAGGGAGACAGCCTTCCTGAGGTGCAGGGAAAGACTCCTAGAGCAGAGGAAACCGCAGTGAAATGTTGCTGTGAATGTTTCCCTAGTGCGTTCAGTGATGTGGTGCCATGTTGGAGATCTGTAATGGGAATTCGGGTAAGTATCTTATTATAGAAAATAGTAGCAAAAAAGTTGAAAGAAGAGACTGGAGGTAAAAAAAGAGCGGTGGGACCTGTTCAGGTGGGTCACAGAAGCCAGGAGACCAGAGCAGTTGCATGAAAAGGGAGTTCCAGGGAATGCGATGGTTGTTAAAGGGTTAAGGAGAATTGGGTTGTGGGACTGTCTATTTTGTAATGAGTGGAAAGAAAACAAAATGAGTATGAGGAGGGTAACAAGATTGAAGGTTATGGTTTTATATGGAATAGCGGAGAAGAAATTACAGGCTGAGGATGAGTGTCAGATATTGTTAGAGGAGGGTGAGCGAGGTGTTGGGCAAGCAGGAAGGTGGGTAGCTGCTGACAGCTCAGAGGTGTGGGGTAAGAAGGCAAGATCTGAGGGAGCACTGTGCAGAGGAGAGCGAGTGGGAAGAGAGGGGAAGCAGGAGCAGGCTCTCAAGCAGTGGAAAATGAGAAGCCCGACACCTGGTATTCTGGGGGATGATTCTCCTTCTAGAGCCATTCAAACTTTCCACAAGGCTCAAGATTGTGGGTACAGTAAGATCGTTTGTTCCGAAAGAAATTATAGCCTGCGCTGTTTGTTTCGGTAGCACAGTTAGCTCTGAAATGCACAGGCGGCTGCCTGCAGGGCAGAGCTCTACAGCTGCAGATGGAGTCCAGGTTGTGTGATGCCGCTCCTCTTTTTCTGTATCAAGAAAAATATTCCTGCCGCCTTGCTTTTAACAGCTGCTCTATTAATCTACTTCTAAAGAATTAAATTACTTAATGTACTAGAGATAAATAAAGTCTTATTATTAAAACCTCCATATTAATTTAGTGTAACAACCAGTACACAGTACTACACGGCTCATCTACCCTTTCATATTTCCTGACAGTTTCATGACTTGCTTTCCTGCTAATACAGAAGTCTTTTGAAGGAAGGCGATTTTTGGTTCGTTAAGGTTTATTTCCCCTGACTTTGAAAGAGGAAAGAAAGGGAGACTGTCTGCAGTATGTAATTATTCAAAAATAATAATATCATCCACAGAATTTGATAATGGAAGTCACTTTTTAGCCAGACATTCCTGTTGAGTTACTCTTACTGGCCTTCCTGGCTAAAGCACTTCTTGCAAATAATCCCGTAAGTAGGTTTATATTGACTTTGGAGGTAAAAGAGGATGATAAAATTAGTCAAATTCTGACACTTGGAGCTTTGATAGTATCCCTTCTTAAAAACTGCATGTATTCCTTCTTTATAAATGCCTGAATTCATTGCTGAATTAGCTAAACAAGCAAATAACCACAGTTGGAAATGTGGAACAATAATTTCCTTTTCTGTTTAAAGCTGAGTTGGTTTTTCAGGTGGTGATAGTTTTGCTTTGTTTTGTTTTCTTGTGGCTGTTCTTTTTTCTAAACTGCTTCCATAGTGATAGTGCACTATAACTCCACTTAGGTGGAAATTGTCAAATATTTCAACAGTTTTATTCAAGAATATGTTAGAAGCTCTTGAAAGAAAAGGCCACTTCACATTTGGAGCATTTGGATAGTGCTCACTTTAGTCAACTACACTTAAGTGAAAGACAGTCTTTTTGTTCTCTCTTTTTTTTTTTTTTCTCGTTCTTAATTTAGCACGACTTTCCTATGTTACAGGTCACTTTTTGTGTAGCACAGAAATGCTGATCCAAGCATGTTGGTCTCTGCCACCTGTAGTCACTCGTGTAAGCAGCCAGTGAAAATAAACTTCCATAATAGTCCTGTAGATTTGACTGTATGCCAAAAAACACATGTATGATCCCTGACCCCTTGTACTGTAACAATAACAAGACACACAGCCACTTTTTGTTTATTGCTAGGCTTCTCACATAGCTACTGAACCATGGTGGAACTAACATGAAAGCTCTGTGCTTCTTGTAAATATTAGCATTTGTATCTCTCTCAGTGTGTGTGAGAATGGGATGGGGAAGAAATATCTTGGCTTTGACATCCCAGAGAAGGAGGATTCTGTAAATATGGGAAGATAAAAAAATCAACAATAAATCATTAAAATGTTGGGCAAGCTACCACCTACAATCTTGGTATTTTATGCCTTTGGCTTCTAAGCCTTTTGCTGTCATTCACCCTATCTTGTATCTTCTGGTTTTATTAGGAAAATGTTGCCTTTCATTTAGAGGCACTTAATACCTTGCTCTCACTGAGTAAATTCATGGGTTTATATTTCTCTTTGTCACTGCAATTCGAAAGAGATTTCTCTTTCTGCACCACCTGTTACCTGGCTTTGTGGTTTATCTAAATTATGCCTATGAGATGCTGGTCTCAAAGCAGTACTGTTGGTCCATCTTCCCTATAATACCAGCAAACAATTAATTTTCAGTGTGTCAGTGTAAATTTGCATGGCATCTGTACTTTGGGGAAAATGTTTGCTCATCTTGTTTGTTTGCACCTGAACCGGACACTTATTTTTCATTTGGATCTCTACTACTCTTTTTACTTCTTGATACACAAGCAAGAGACATTAACAAGTGAATGTGTGTTTCCTTCGTAAATCCTCCAGTAGGAGGTACAAATGCTAATAATTTTAACTAGAGAGTGGGACCCACCACTTACCACTTCATTTGCCAGCTCTTGACCGTGTCTGTATTAATGTGTCTAGAAACGAGGGTCTTTGAAAGGTGGCATGTTCTCAGTTTCGATCTGCATGGTGAATGACAGGCTTAGCAAATGATAGTGAGATCAGGAGTAAATAAGGCTCACTGCAGGAAAACCAAAAATAATTCAGTCATGGTATTGTCATCACATACTGTCATCAGATAATGGCTTTGGGACGAAAAGAACTATTAAGTGAATTGAATTCTTTTCTTT